AGGAGGAGAGCGTGGCGGGTTGCTCGAGGTCAGGAGTTCAAACCAGGGCCTGAGCAAAGAGCGAGACCACCTGTCTCTACTATAAATTAGAAAGAAAGCCTCCCATGATTTTTCTATTTTCTGTGGAAACGGGGTCTTGCTATGTTGCCCAGGCTGGTCTTAAACTCCTGGACCCCGACAGCCCCCGGCACCCACCTGCCACTCGTCTAAGGCCTGCTCCTCCTTGGCCTGCAGCTCCCCCGTCTTGCACATCTCCTGCCGAAGGTATTCCATGTCCTTCTCCAGCTTCAACTGTGGGATGCAAAACACCTCCGGCTGTGGGGCCAGCGGCGCCCCAGCCCCCACCCAGCGTCCGGACTGTGCTCACTGGAGCTGCACCCACCCCACACGTCTGCCTAAGGAGGGGCCGGGACCAAAGCACACCGCCCCAGAACACGCCAGTCCAGATCAGTTTGAGCTAAAAGCAAGTAAAGAAAAGAGCAGGTGCAAGAATTGCTCTAACCTTTGCTTTTTTCTGCCTAAAAGCAGGAGGGGGAGAAAAAAAACCCAACATGTGGAAGACGGATTCCCTCCTAACGCCCCAAGAAAAATGATGTTTTTATCACCAAAGGCAGAAGGTCAAAGCTAGAGAAATCTGTGCATCTCCTCACCCCCCACGCACTTAGTGACTCGGTGTACATGGGTGTGCGACTCTAACGTGCTTCTTTGGGTCTTGAGCTCCTTGAAAAGGGTCCCCGGGCAACTAAAAACTAAAATAAAGGCAAGGGGCCCTTTCCCGGTCAATTGGCCTCAAACAAGTTAAATCTCAAGGCCAGCCAAAAACCCCCAAGAAAGGAGAGGCAACACTGGCCTACCCTGAGCCACAGTCTAGGCTCACCCTGTCCTCCCGGGCACCTGCCCGGCCCGCGCGGCCCACCTTGTACTCCTGCGCGGCCTCGTCCACGGGCAGCGCCCGGTGCAGGCGGTGCTCCTTGGCCTCCCTGCAGACCACGCAGATGGGGCTCCGGTCCTCCTCGCAGAAGAGCTTGAGGGCCTCCTGGTGCAGCGGGCACAGGTCCCGCCGCTGCAGGCCCGGGTGCTGCCGCGCCATCTCCGCCACCTTGGTCAGCATCCGGTTGGGCCGCAGGTTCCGGTGGGGGGACGTCTCCCTGCACTCGGGGCAGGGGAAGCTGTCCTTCCTCTTCCGTCGCCCCTTCTTGCCCTTGGCCTTCTCCCAGCTGGTCTGGATGCACTCGCGGCAGAAGTTGTGTCCGCAGGAGGTCATCACTGGGTCGGTGAAGTAGTCCAGGCAGATGGAGCACGTGGCCTCCTCCTTCAACTTCCTGGCAAGTTCCACGGCGTCCATGGCTCCTGGGGGGACACCAGGCCGGGTTGTCCGCGGCCAGGGACTCCCCGTGAGCCGTGACCCCGTGGAGTGCACGGCTCCTCTTAGGCCTCCCTTTCCTGATGGGGGCGGGTCCGGGGAGGGGCCCTAGCTGGCATTGAGGAGACACAAAGGTCTCGCTGGAAACTGCCAAGCCCCTCCCTGGCCACTGCTCTCCGGCCAGTCTGGGGCCCGCCCTGTCCCGTCTCTGGCCTCCCAGCTGCGTCTTTGCAGAGCATCCTGCAAGTCCCCCCCCCATGTCCACTCAGGTCCTCACCCGCAGGCCCCGGGTGAGCTCTAAGTCCTTGCCCACCTTTCGGGAATAGCCTGTTAGGTCAGTTTAGGCAAAGCCCCCTTCCCTTGGAGTATCCGACCCTCTCCACCCCGACCCTCTCCACCTGCCCTGCCCTGGGACTGCGACGAGAGATTCTCCCCTAGGGCAACGCCCCCAGGGCAGGAAGCTTGAATGAAGAGCCTTCCAACTAGTGCCTGAATAATCACTTAACAAAATCTCCATACACCAAAGGAAAAAGGGATTGTCAAGAGGGATGTGCGGTGCCCAAAAGACAAACGCCCGTGCACGCAAGCACACACATGCACAGTACGCCCGCGTGCATGCACAGATGCACCTGGGCACACACAGATACACCCATGCACGCATGTAGGCAATCACGTGCCCACGCATGCGCAGTCACACGTGCACACCGATGCACGCACACTACGCACGGATGCACACACGCGTGCACGTGCACAGAGGCACACTCACGCGCGCACAGGCGCACACACGCATGCTCACGGACGCCCTCGGAGACGAACACTCGTGACTCCACGCGCTGGGCGAGCACCGCCTTCGCCGGCCTGCTTCCCAGGGCTGCTGCGAGGACCCCGAGGTAGAGGAGGGACTTGAAAATGCGTCTAAGCCCGGAGCCCAGCCCTCCCCCTCTCCGGTTCTGCAAGCCCCTAAAGCGCCGGCGTGTCCTAGCCGCTCGGCTCTGCCCCGCGCTACTCTCAGGGCCGCCCGAATGTCCCCGTGTGGATGCGGGGCTCGTCCCGGGTACCCGTGGTCATTCTGCCCGCGGTTCCAACGGCGCCCCGTCCAGGGCGGCCGGGCGTCTGCAGGGGAGGCTGGCTCGGGCTGGGTCCGCCCCGCGGGCCGCGGGCACAGCAGCTGCGGGCTTTGTGGCGTCAGCCGGGGCAGGGGGAGTAGGGGCAGGAGGCGTGCAGCCCGCGGCCGTGCCTCAGTGGTGCAGCGGCACTGGTGGGGCTGGGGAGGCAGCAGGCGGGGGTGCAGGGCGGAGTTTGCAGGGGTGCGGTGGGGTGGGGTGTGTCTGGAGGTGGCGGGGCCGGGTTGGCCCCGGCTGGGGGATGGGGAGGAGTCTGCGGGTGGGGGGGGGTTTCCAGGGGGCGAGGGGTAGGAGGGGGGCGGCGCCCGCGGGGGGAGGCGATGCAAGGGTCTCTCTCGGACCCCGCGAGCCCCTCCCCTCGTCGCGCCGGGGGTCTCAGGGAGGGGCGTCCCGTCCTGGGGCAGACTGGTTCGGAGGGGCGTGGGGCGGGTCGGTACCGGGGGCGGAGGAGGGGGTTCTTGCCCGCGCCCTAGGTAGTTTCGGCCGGTGTCCCCCCCAGTCCTGACCCGGCGCTGCGCGTGCGCTGACTCTGGGGCTGGGGAAAGGACAGATGGGGAAACTGAGGCTCGGGGCATGCGCGGAGCTGGGAGCAGCGGTTTGGGGGATGTTATGTTTGTACGGGTTTAGCCTTTCGAGAGCGTGTGTGGTGTTAGTGTCTTCGCTTCGGCGCAGTGTGTTTCTTGCCGCGCACGGACGGTCCTGCGCACCCTCGCGGTCGGGGCTCACCCGCCGAAGTGTGGACACCTGTTGCTAATTCCGGCTTGTCCCCCACCTCCCCAGGCCTCTCCCTGTCGCTTACGTCTGCCAGCGAATTCTGGGCTGAGGGTTTCCTTCGATTTAGAAAATAGAATCAAGGATTAGAAACAACAAACAAAAAAAGAACTTAAAAAATTTTTAGAACAAACACACGCAAGACCACAACAGTACGATGAACCCCCATCTACAAACCGCCCAAATCAGCATTTTGCTGTATTTGGATTCCTCTGCACCTGTTTTGTGCTTGGTGAGGTCTTTTCTTTTTCTTTCTTCTTTCTTTCCTTTCTTTTTCTTCTTCTTTCTTTTCTTTCTTCTTTCTTTCTTCTTTCTTTCTCTTCTTTTTTTTCTTTCTTTCTCTTCTTTTTTCTTTCGTTTTTTGCTTTTCTTTCTTTCTGTTCTCTCTCTCTCTCTCCTCTCTCGTTCTCTCTCTCCTCTCTTTCCTCCTCTCTCTCTCTCGCCCTCCCTCCCTCCCCTCCACCTCCTTCCCTCCCCTTCGCCCTCCCTTCCCTCCCGCCTCCTAATCGCTTCCTTCCTTTCCTTTCTTTTTTTAAGCAACCCCAGGCAGCCCGCCGTTCACCCTGCAAGCTTTATTCACAGTTGTGTCTCGAAAAGTGGTCTTACAAACGACACAGCTTTGGCCCGCACAGCACTGAGGAGAATTTCTACTTTATCGCGACCCTTTGGTGGGGCGTGGTGGGGATTTCTCGATTACCCAAAAAGTAGTGGTTTGGAAGGTTGGGTATTGGTTGGGTTCTTGGGCTCACCCCTGGGTAGACCAGCAGGTTGCGAGGCTAGGCAAGGGATCTCTGCGGGAGGCGGTGTTCTCAGACCTGCCTGCCGGCAACGTAGCCTGCGTCTCGGCGTGCAAAAAGATGAAAAATTGGCCTGGGTGTCGGTGGCACACACCTGCTAGTCCAGCTACTCAGGAGGCCGAGCAGGGAGATGGCTTGAGCCCAGCGGCGCCTCTCCAGCTGCAGGCTGGAAGTATTACTGCACCGACTGATCAGCCTGGGTGGCGTGGAGTGAGACCCTGTCTCGAAAATAAATAAATAATTAACTTAAGATAATGTTGGTTTGTTTGAGATCAGGCATCCTACCACATGTATGAGGCTCTTTTGAACTTAGTATAATTTTTTTTTTCTACATTTTTTCTCATCTTTGTCTTTCTTAGTAATGCTGACGGGGGGTGGAGGGGGGAGCAAAATGGCTTTCCTCAGCCCTTCTAGGTTCTTTGGGTGACAAGTTATAGTGACAGAAAGCAGATTAATGGGAGAAAAACCATTTGCATGGGAGGAGGGAGGAGGATAAAAAAACAAACTTTCATTACGTTACTTATATTCTTTCAATGGGACCTACAAATTAGACCAACTGCCCCCCTCCCAAAAAAAAAAACAGATTATGGAGGAAAAAATGGCATACACATCCTCATCTTACATTTTTAATTTTATATGCCCAGGGTCTTTACAGCAAATAAGTGAAAACCTGAAGAGGAGGTTACGCTCAGGAGCTTCCATACTATTTTAACAAAGGGCAACAAGAATTGTAAAAGAAGTGACTGGACAGAGGAAGAGGAGGTTTGAGCTTCTAGTGGTAAATTGTGAGATGACTTGGGATTTTAGGGGGGAAACTAATAAGAGTTTTTTGTTCAGACTCATCTTGGTGGCATCTCTGGTGATGAGTTTTCTTTCTGGCATGGGACAGGAGGCACCTTTATAAATGCAGAAGGGAAATGTATGCCCTAATTTTAGGCAGCAAGAAGGAAGGCAGAGAACTCCTTTTTGTGTTTGCTGTTTCTCTGTTGACCTGAGTGAAAAATAATCGATATGCCAGAGTGGCACATTTTGGGGGTGGGGACATCCTGATCCCTTCAGACTTTGGGGGGCTTTTTATGCAACATACTCTCACTGAGGAGGCCAGTTCATGGCCCATATCATCTGGAACACTGCCGGTAATGAGGTTCAAAACATCACGCCCTAAAATGTGACTGTAGGAGACTAGAGTATGCTTCCTGAAATACGGCTCTTGGGCACGAGGGTTCTTTTGAGCTGATTCTTTTTTTCTGTTGGAAACAGCAGACACAGAAGATGCTCCGAAAACAAGGCAGAGTCATACCTTTGTCAGGGGAACTTACGTCTGCAGAGATCTCCATCTGTAAGGCTGGCTCCCCTCTGCACCTGGGAGAGTCTCTAAATTGCTGGAGACTCTCACAATGGAGAAGGCCTCGACTCAAATCTGCATAACGCGGCTTACCCTTGTCTCAGGAACTTTTCCTCACCACCTCCCATGGCTGCCCCCACCCCTCACTTCTTGGTTCAGGGAATTGCAGTATTTATACCTGAAGTCGAAGACACTTGTTGAGATTTAGTCTTAGAGACTTTCCTTTTTGGGATTTCCCTATCTCCCAGGTGTGCAGGTTATTAGACATTTTGTTCATCTTCCTCTTTCATAAGAGGAAGATGAACTTTGCCTTTTGCCACAGGAAGGCCCAACCAAGGACTATAAAGGGCAGAGAGGAAATTATTTTTCCTCCCCTAGTACAGTCCTCAGGACAGGGGTCACCAACTCTCAGAGCCTTAAATAAACAGATTCAGGATCTATGGTTAAAAGTAGAGTTTATTTCAGCATAAGATTTGAGGAAGGCCACCTGGGAACACAGACTCCAAAGGATGGGAGTTAGTGCTCCAAAGTGGGGGAGTTTGGGGCTCATTTATGCAGATGAGGTCTGGGAAGTTTGCTGGGGTTTCAGCATGTTCCACACCAGGCTAGCACATAGTTATGCAGTCTGGTTAGTCAAGGTGGTATTCTTTTTGGAAAACGTGTATTTAACATTCCACACTGGGGCCTTTTGTGCCATCTGGTCTGAGTTAGGTGCAAGATAATGTCAACCAAGCTACAATCCTAAGCTCCCTTATCAACTGAATGTACCCCCTCCTGACCAGAGAAACCTTAAAACTGAGTTCCCGGCCACGAAGAGAGAGGGGAATATCGGATGCGCCTCATTATACCTCCTCCCTTTTAGAGTTTAGACAAAATAATTGACCAGCATTAATGTTAAAACAGATCATAAGACTGACAAAACAGAGTCTTTGTGACAAAATGCTAAATTATTAACAGGACCTAAGGCCATGCAGGGCAAAAGTTAGATCACCTGCAGGCCATCAATCTACTTCGCAGATCACTTGACTCCATATATTGTGGCTTGTCTGTGATTAACAGACTTCTTTATCTTAACTTAAAATGTTCTAAACCTTTAGACAAAGATTTATTTCTTTAACCAAATATAAATCAAAGAATCTTTGAACCCATCTCTATCACCAAGAAAACTCTCCTTTCTACTATGTAACTATTGTGGTGGTCTTTTAGATGACATAGTTTAATGACATTTGGTTTTTGTCCCCAAACCCAGAGCTCCTAAAACCCTCAGAATTTCCCAAGAGATAGGAATAGCTTTAGTTATTCACAAGGCATCTCTTCCCATCACACCTGAGTCTAAGCTACTGAGGTGACTCAGTTGGGGACCCCTAGATAGTCTCAGGAAGTTCAGAAGGGGGCTGGTCATAGAAAGACCAAGAAATAAGAGGGTTGGAACTTTTCACTCCATACCCACCACCTCCAGGAGGGGGAGAGGGCCAGAGATTACATCTCCCAAACTCAGACTCATCAAATTTGAACAATAAATTTGATGATTTTCTGGGTTGGCAACGATTTTCTGGTTGACGTGCCCAATCATGGGCACAGAAGCTCCTGCACGGGATCTTTT